AGCGTGCTTGCCTGGCATGCGTGCGGCCCGGGTTCGATCCTCAGCACCACATACAGACAAAGATGTTGTGTCCACCAAAAACTAGAAAATAAATATTAAAAAATTCTCTCTCTCTTTAAAAAAAAAAACAAACCCAACAACATCAAAAAAAGCATTTAGCATGTGTTTGTTTCATTACTATTAATTTGTATTACTTGGTTAAGGTGGTGTTTCCCATATTTCCTCTCTGTACAGGAACCTTTTTTCCTCTATAGTTAGTAATGTATAGGAAGATTCTTTTAGACTGTAAAAACATCTTGTTCCATATTATATTAACAATTATTATTGTGGATGAAAAAAATGAAGATTTTTCTAACCCTATAATTTCTTCTACATTTATTAGCTGGTATTTTTAAAAAATACTTATTTTTTAGTTGTAGTTAGACACAATACCTTTGTTTTATTTATTTATTTTTATGTGGTGCTGAGGATTGAGCCCAGGGCCTCACACGTGCTAGGTGAGTGCTCTACCACTAAGCCACAACCCCAGCCCAACACTGGATCTTGAAAGGACAAAGGGTGGCATGTAAAAAGTCAATATATATTATTAATGAATATTAAGTTAAAATCAGCCATTTAACAAAAATTGTGGCTTGATTCAATTTAAGCTAACATTCACAGACATGGACTTAAAACCAGGTTAGACCAATTTTATACCAGGCTGTTTGTAAGTGAATCTTACTTTTTCAAAACAACTTAAGGTTTATTATTCTAAACAATAATAAACAAGTTAGTTGTTAAACTAGTGTTATCAAAAAGTTCTGGAATTGTTTAAGAAAAGAATATTTCTTCTCTGGGAGTGGTGGCGCATACCTATAATCCCAGCAGCTCTGAAGGCTGAGACGGGAGGATTGAGAGTTTAAAGCCAGCCTCAGAAATGGCAAGGCGCTAAGCAACTCAGTGAGACCCTGTCTCTAATAAAATACAAAATTGGGCTGGGGATGGGGCTCAGTGGTTGAGTGCCTGAGTCATATCCCTGATAACAACAACAAAAATAGAATATTTCTTCTAAGTTTTCCATCTGATTCAAGGATTTCCCTCCACAGACAAAAAAAGAAGACACCCAGGATAAAGTGAGTGGAGACTAATACAGGGACACCTACTCTTCCTGGATTCCTTGGTTGGGGGGTTCCCAGGTTCTCACCCTTCCTTCGGGAAATGCATGATTTTTCTTGCTTTTTTTTCCAGATTCCCAAAGGATCCATGACCACTGAAAAAGCTAAGGACCACTATTCTAAAGGCAGAGATCAAGCTATACTGTGGGCTCCTTTCTTCTCCACTTCTGCCTCTCTCTCCAACCTGACAAGACAGAAATTGACCCGCCAGGTCTGGGTACTTGGCTCACCTTCCTCAGGTGCTGAGCTCTCAGCAGAACTGTCTTTGTCTGAACTGCCCGAGGAGGCAGTTTTATTTGCTTGTTTCTTCATGGTTCCTTTCTTCTCTATTTTTCGGCCTTTTCCTTTCTTCTTGTTTTTATTACTCCCAAATGTCCACTACAAGGGAAAAAAAAAGAAAAAGGAAAATTGAAATAGGAACTTTATGGAGAAAAAAAAGCTGAAAGATTCAAGAGAATTAAGACTATTTGACTTTCAACAAAATGATTCCAAGAATCTCTACAACTTTGAACCCACTCCCAAATATACACTTTATATGATGAAAGATACACTTTTAGGACAGTTGGCCACTCAGGTGGCTGCCTCAACTGGTACTGAACTGTGCTCTGCAGCCTCCAGTCTCTGTATGTCTCAGCAAAGGTCACCCAATGTGAGCAGCAAAGAAGAATGGAGAGGTTTCAGAAGAAGAAACACAACAACTTCCCTGTACAACCAAAGGGAGGGGAAGGATGTTAGTTCACCTTCACCCATGATGCTGGCCTTCAAGTCATTTCAGCAGGAATTGGATGTGAGGCATGACAAACATGAGAGACTTGTGAAACTTGGTTGGGATATAACTGTTGAACATAAGAGGACGATTGTTCTCCTCCATAGGATTACAAGTGCTCCTGATAATGGAAGAAATATTGACTAAATCCTAAATTATATTAGATGGTATCAGACAAAAAATATGACAGGTAGCCCAAGAGCTATCAGGAGATCAGTTCCACTTAGCTGTCACTCAGGATTGTAGGAATATGTGCTATCTCTTTCCAACATTTCATGAAAACATAATCATTAGTCAGTATGGATGAAATTATTAAACAATTGGTTTTTACAACAGAGGATAATGAGAAAGAAAACAAGACTCCCTCCCTCTGATACACAGGATATGTCACTTGGAGACTTAAGTCACCCATTTATTACCTTCTGGGAGTGGCAGGTTTAACTGGAGAGTTGAAGCAAATGTGTAATAACAGTGTGGGGAATGGGGACTCAACACTCCCTTTGGGCTGAGAATACAGCTCAGTTGGGAAAATGCTTGCCTTGAATATACAAGGCCCTGGGGTAGGTTTCCAGCACACATACAAAAAGAAAGAGAGAAAAAGAGAGAGAGAGAAACAAACAAACAAACAAACAAACCACCCTCCCTTTGAAGTGAGATTGTTTTTTAAGCCAGGTTTAGGATGGGTTTTCCTTCATTGGCAAACATTCAATATTACAAGGTCTTTAAGAAGCTGTATACCATAAAACAAGGTCTGGTCAAAGTTGAGATTGTTTCTTATGTTCTGAAAAGTCCAGGGTTCAGAGATCCCAAGCACATGCTGGAAGATGTGCTCCCAGTTAAAATAGAAATGATTGTTCAGGAAGAGGGCATTTCCTATAACAACATCACTGGCTATCATCTGGAGATAGACGAGTTTGTAAGATAGTTACTCAGCAATTCATTTGAATTTATTGCAGCATTTACATAGAAACATTCAGTTGTGTTTCTCTTAAATTGTATACAAGCTGTACATGAAATTATCAAATGAATTAATTCTTTTTTTTTGGGGGGGGTACTGGGGGTTGATCTCAGGGTCACTCAACCACTGAGCCATCTCCCCAGCGCTTTTTTGTATTTTATTTACAGACAGGGTGTCTCACTGAGTTGCTTAGTGCCTTGCTTTTGCTGAGGCTGGCTTTGAACTCAAGATCTTCCTGCCTCAGCCTCCCTAGCCTCTGGGACTACAAACATGTGCCACTGCACCTGGCCAATCAATTCTTTTTATTCACAGAAGTGTGCATATACAAGTGTTTGTATATATGCCTATTTGAGGAGTTCTGCTGGTTAACCTTTATCTTTTATCTGTGTTATGTGAACATGCTTCAAACTGAGCTTTCTCCTATAACATATTTAATTTATTTTGTATGAATTTTGGAATAATAATTTTTAATGGAAGCAATTTCAGTTGGTGATTTTTGTTATATATAGAAAAGATTTCTTAATTAAACTTCTGGACCTAAGCTTCCTGTCTAAATTTCTTGGCAATGTATTGTATACCCACAGAATTGACTTAATCCATAGAACAAGAATTGAAAATTAACTATCAATACTTGTAATCCCAGCAGCTCTGGAGGTTGAGAAAGGAGGATTGAAAGTTCAAAGCCAGCTTCAACAATTTAGCAAGGCCCTAAGCAACTTATTGAGACCCTGTCTCAAAATAGAAAATAAAAAGGGCTAAGATGTAAGTCAGTGGTCAAGCTCTGAAGGGGAATTGGAGCTAACATTTTAATGTTTTCACTGGTAAAGTTGAGTTCAATTATGTACTTGTACATAACTGAAAGATTTTAGTATTAATTATTTAGCAGTATTTCCCCCCTTACCATTTTTATTAGGCATGCTTGAAGGCTTTCCTATTCTAGCATCTTGAAATTTTGAAATACTAAGTTAATCCAAACCTTTATAGTAGGTCTGGAGTATTTATAAAGTTGCCAAAAAATTGTATGATGTAGAATTCAGCAATAAGACAACTGGCCATACAATTAAGAGTAACAGTCTTTAGCACTCTTTAGAAATGAACTTGCCTACTAAAACTAGCTAGAGATTATTACTTACAATATGAAGCTGACTTGAGCATGACAGACAGTACTTACTGGATGACAGATAGTCCCAAACAAATTGGTTTTTTTAAAATATATTTTTAGTTGTAGATGGACATGAGAGCTTAATTTTTTTAAAAAATTTACTTTTATGTGGTGCTGAGGATTGAACCCAGTGCTTCACACATGCTAGGCAAGTGCTCTACCACTGAGCTACAGCCCCAGTCCCCAAATCAATTGATTTTGTGAGTTTTGAGAATCTAGATTTTTACTTTTGGAAAGATTACTTCTGTATGTAAGAGTTCATTCTTGGATAATGTAACTTTTCAAAAATATTATCTAAAGGAAAGCAAAACACAGACATGCCTGATACATTAGGTTTGTTGTGGTAAGGGTGGGTGGGTCTCCCTACACTAAGGTATACTGCTGAATGATAATTAATTCCATTATATATTTTTTGTTACTTTTACCACTTGAATTTAAATTTAAATGTTAAAATAATAATAAATCAGTGAATGTTTTATAGATGTTTAAAACAAGTCTTTTGAATATTAAAATACTTTTTTTAAAAAGAAACAATTTTAAAAAGTTTGTTTTTTATAACTACTAGTTATAAATTTCTTAGTAATAGAACATTTAGATAAAACATAAAATCGAATTAATGTAGTTTCTGTTGCAACAGAAAAACAAAGATACTAACTTTATGGCAAGATAAACAAGTGAGAGAAAACAGCTTCTCGTGTTTTCTGTGGTAGAGATCGCATTAACTGCTAAGGGCTGGTATGTCAGGGTTTCAGTACATAGAGAATGATTTAGAGATGAGGTGGGCCTCAGAAAGGCGGGAAAGAAGCTTGTGCCCAGGAGAAAACTGCAAAATGCACTGAGAAAGGTTAAGAGCTACTTTTGGACACGGATGTTGTACTGGCAATAACTCTAAGAAAGCAGAAAGCAAAGTAGATCTTTAAGTATATGTGTGTATATCTTTTTTATATATACATATGAGCTGTTTTTTAATATTTTAGTTGTTGATGGGCTTTATTCTTTTTTTTTTAAAGAGAGAGTGAGAGAGGAGAGGGAGAGAGAGAGAGAGAGAGAGAGAGAGAGAGAGAGAGAGAGAGAGAGAGAGAGAGAATTTTTAATATTTATTTTTTAGTTCTCGGCAGGCACAACATCTTTGTTGGTATGTGGTGCTGCTGAGGATCGAACCCGGGGCCGCACGCATGCCAGGCGAGCGCGCTACCGCTTGAGCCACATCCCCAGCCCCCAATGGGCTTTATTCTATTCATTCATTTATATGTAGTGTTGAGAATTGAACAAGTGATAGTATACTGAGCCACAACACATTATCTAAAAAAATGTGTGTATCTCTTACTTAAATGTATGATGCTAAGGATGTACCTGGCATGTGTAAGCCCTGGGTTCAATCTTTAGCACTACATGTACATAAATAAATAAAAGATAAAAAAAATCCATCGACAACTAAAAATGTGTGTATCTCTTACTTAAATGTATGATGCTAAGGATGTAACTCAGTGGAAGAGCTCTTTCTTGCCTGTCATGTGCTAGGCTCTGGGTTCAATTCCTAGTACTATATTAAACCATATCTCCTTTGATATGTTATTTATTATTTATTATTTCTTGTACTAGGGATTGAACCCAGGGATGCTTTAGCACTGAGCTACATTCCCAGTCTTTAATTCTTTATTTTGAGACGGTCTTGATAAGCTGCTGGTCTTAAACTTGCATCAGTCTCCCTAGTAGCTGGGATTATAGGCATATACCACCATGCCCAGCACTTCTCCTGATTTACAATAATTTTTGGTAAAAAATACTTTCTATGTTAAAAAAGTACAGTTTTTGCTCCTATTGTAATGGGATGATAAATTAACCTCCTTGGGTTGGGATTGTGGCTCTGTGGTAGAGCACTTGCCTGGCATGTATAGGTCCTGGGTTCAATCCTTAACACCACATGTACATAAATAAATAAAGGATTAAAAAAAAAAACCATTGGCAACTAAAAAAAAAATATTTAAATAAGTAAATAAATAAACTTCCTATTTCATAGTAGTTAAGATCAGAAGAAAATTTATTTGGGGCCTTTTCTTGGACTGGGGAGACATGGGCATAGGAGCTATTCTTAAGAACCAGAGTCTATCCCAGAGGTTTGGGAGATTGAGGCAGGAAGATCGCGAATTCAAAGCCAGCCTCAACAACAGCTAAGCTAAGCAACTCAGTGAAACCCAGTCTCTAAATTAAATAGGGCTGGGGATTTGATTCAGTGGTTGAGTGCCCCTGAGTTCAATCCCCAGCATCCCCCCTCCCTGAAAAAAAAGAACCACAGTCTGAATCCCAGCTGCTTAGGAGGCTGAGACAGGAGGCATGAGTTCAAACCCAGCCTCAGCAATTTAGTGAGGCCCTAAGCAACTCAGCAAGACTGTGTCTCTAAAATATAAAAAAGGTCTGAAAATGTGGCTCATGGTTAAGTGTCCCTGAGTTCAATCCCCAGTACCAAAAAAGGTAGGGGTGTAGCATAGGTG